TAAGTGTAAGATACGGAAGTTCATTTTTGTCTGTTTCCCACCTACATTGATAGCGCTTGGCTTTTTAATTTATGTAAATATTAAAATATCGCATCATCTGTTCTGGAAGAACATAAAACTTTATAGCCGATGCAAACGACGTGTAGTCATTGAGCTTTTTACCTTGTCACTTCAGATCGGCGGCGATGTGGCCGTTTGCACATATATAACCATATTTAGACAAAAATTTTTCGGTAAAAAATTTTAAAAGTGTATTTATAATGTGAATAATAATGTGAAATATTTTTAATCAGATGCATATGACTGTAAAAAAGAATTTTAAAAATTCAAAATTGAAACAATTAAGAAAGTTTTAAAACTCGTTTCCGAATCTATGTTTTTGAATAACTTCACAGCTTATATCTAGCCTAAACTTATAAAAATTATTGTAATTAAACTTTTAGAATATAATAATTTCAGTCAAATGTTATATATATAGCAACCTACAAGTTCCTAAATACACGTTTTCAGATTTGTAGGAAAGAGAATGGAAATTGTATAAAATAAAATAAATTAATATTAATAATAATATTCAACATCGCTATTTTATACAATATTTGGGCGAAATGTTTCTTGAATCTGGATTGGATTTTCATAATTTTTTTTTTTTTTTTTTTTTGGGTATACAAGCTCATTTTCAATTACTTACAAAATGAAAACATTATTTTAAATATCCCACTCCTCTTGCGCGCAATCGCCTTAAAAATAAAGTTTGTCAAATCGTTTCGGCGAAAATCATTAGCATATAATGAGCAGTAGCTCCTAAATAACTGGTATCAGTCATCATCTCCGCCTAAAAATCACATGTTATTGCCATGTAATCTACATTTTCAAATGTGCTTTGAATTTTACAATGCATTATAGTATAAAAATCATCCAATTGAGCTTTTAGCGTATCAACGTTTTTCTTTAATCGATATAGCTTTAGAGATACCTGATAAGTGCAAATATCGAAACCAAAATATCGAGTATGAAATATCGGTATCGGCGCACGAACATACTGGATAATAGAAATATCGATATTTTTTAGTGTCCCTAGTTGTAACGCCTCTTTAAAAGTTTCTATTTAGAATCAGTTTTAAAATTATACCTCCTTACGCTAGAGTTTCTAAATTTTGCGTTTAGATTTAGATATTTTTGTTATATTTTCGATATTGACCCAAAATTTTATCCAACTTTCTGTTTATATTTGTAAGTATAGCCTATACTAATAGAGTTGGCCTTTCTTCCATAAACAAATAAAGTTTAATTAAATTCCATTATTTAATGGGTATTTACCTCAACATTTATTAAATAAAATTAAACAATTAACAATGTTACGAAACTCAAAGGCGTATCGCCCAATAGATATTATCAGTTCAACAAAATGAAACATTCAGTTTTTATTGAGAGCACTTTCATTAGTTTCACTTAAGTTCCACATTAGCTGATGGAAAAACATTATTCATAAATGAGCAATACATAATATCGGATACAAAGGTTAACGCTGAGCCTAGTAAACCTCGGGCACTCGGTAATTTACAAGTATCAGCTATTGTCGCATTTAAAAATAATATATTTTGCGTTATATCAATTACTAATTTGTTGGCTTCATGATATTTCTCTACATTCCTTTGTAAGTTTTCATGGTTTTCCGACAGTTTTCGCTTAATTTCGGTGGCCGATTTCTGTATGATGACAAAATCAAATCGTCCTTCCGGCGTTTTTGGACAGTCTCGCATTTTGGTTAAAAATTTGTCTGCTCTTTTTATTAGGACGTCGATCACAGTCTTATGACAGCTTGAGGATCTAAGCTTCTTATTTCCCTTCAACATTTTGAACAATGTTTTGTTCTTTAATAGCTCTATTTTTATCGTAACTTCAGGTATAAGAAACGTAGGGAAATCCATTCTTGCTGTTTTATGCAGTTTTCGCGAGCCATCCACACGAACTACCAAAAGCAATGTTGCAAATAAAATCAGCAATGCCAACTGCCCACCCATTTCTACGCGAGGTCCGAGTTTCAATGATCGCATGTTACGAAAGTTGTTTAATACCATGCTAAAAAATAAAATAAGAATAATAATTTTAAATTAGTTAGATATGGTAAATTTAGATTTAGATGTGGTTCAAAGTGAATTGCATTATATATCACATTATTCATATTCTCTACTGAGTAAAGAATAATGAGAAGTCTGTGACCGAGGCATACACCGAACTAGATATAACAAGTAAAACTCGTGACTAGACGATACCCAGAATTCTACGCAGATCTAAAATTCTACTCATTTCACACTTCTTTATTACAGACATTCAATGTGTAACATATATAATATATGTATATTACTAAGCATCTAATATATATTATTAGTATCTAGAAAAAAATGTGAGCAATATATTTATAATGTATCCCAATATATATTGTGGGAAAATCATACTTGAAGATTTTTGCTTATCTCAAAAGCCAAAATATATATAAGTATAATTTGCAAAATACATATGATCAAATAATATAAGAGTAATAAGACATACTGAAGTAATTTCCGATTTATTTACATATTTTAATTATTTTTTTTTTTTTTTAATTTTATTTTAGAATAACGTGTCAGATATTGTTATACAACCTATTAGTTCTTGTATAAGATTAGAATATGGAGGAAATAAACTTCGTATTTCCTTATAGGTGCACATTATCAGTGGTATTTTAAAGTTGAATTTTCCATTAAGAGCTGCCTCGATTAACTCGATGCCCATGTCAATGATTGTGAGCGCATTTGTTAGCATAATGGCTGCGCAGCGTGTCTGTTCATAAGTGCATGGTGTCTTAGTTTTCTCGATAGCCTGGACAAAACGTATCAAATATTTCGTCACTTTGTCATTGATGTCACCCGTGCAGTTCTTCGCACGGTTACGAAATTCAGTTACTGCTTCTCCTAGAGGCTTGACAGATTTCTGAAAACACCTGTATACATTGGGCTGCGTAAAGCTCAGTATAAGCGAAGTAGTAAAGCCAGTCGGGTATTCCAACGTCAAGCACGCAACATGGTGCAAGCCCACAGCAAGAATAATTAGAGCAAATAGCTTATGCATGGATGTGGTTCACGACTGTACAAATAAATAGAATGAAAAAAATATTTATTACATATATATATATATATTTGATCTATAATATGCTTTCTCGTCCATTCAATTACATCCGCTACGCAAAGTACATATAATTAAATTAAGTTACTTCATGGAACAAATTAGTAAGGAATTGATTCGAAACTGCTCTTTAAAATGTTTATGAAAATTACAATAAAGATTCTGTATGTATCCTATATGGAGAAAATGTATTCAATAATATAATAATATTATTACAAGACAAATACATAAAAGAGCTTTAATCGAGACTGATCGACCACGAGATTCTCTTAATTCTTCGAGGAATTGATATTTAAATTTTCAATTTGTTTAATTATAATATATTTTCAAATAAACGTTGAGAAAAGGATATTATTATTATTATTATGTTTGTAACTGTACGTTTTACGCCAACAATATTAATTTCAATATAGACGAATACTAATTTAATATAGACGAATCACAAGCTGAATCAGCATCGTACACATTTGGCCAACTGTTGGCCATGCCAACTGGCCGTAATAAGTATATCATACATGCAACATTAAGCTGCACAGGATAGTCCAGAGCCAACAATTTGTTGGCCAAGTCAACACGTAAGCAGAATCCCAATCTGTATGAAAGGATTGCCAGTTTGCTGAATGTGTGTGCGTGTTGGTGTGTGTATGCTGACCTCAGTATATTTTGCAAATGTCAGAGTCAAATCCGGGCATTTATCATGATTCAAATGAATTATTGAAGTATATATCTTTGGCATTCCCTATTGGACTATCGAAACACTGCTCTCGCAAGCACACAAACACACACACACTTGCACATACACAGTTGACTATTCCTCTTTGTTGTAAATGGGTTAGGTCAACGGTTGTTTGTTGGGTCACAATGCCAATGTGATTTGTTGATTTACTTAATATCTGGCACTGTGCTTAAATATCAGACACGCTCTCCTAATGGTCTTAGAGGTTATGTTCAAGCAAGTAAAGTCCGATTAATACTTTCTATCACTCCTCACTGACTGGCATAGAACACGTATTACATTACTTCTCCATTTAAACTAGAAATTGTACTATCTAGATTCCTAACTTGTACATGCCATCAATTTAAAATTTGCTGGATGCCATCTGGAGTTTTTGCTCCATCGATATAATCTATTCTATAATCTATTATATGCAATAATGAAATAAGGCAGCTTTAAAAAATTGCATGTAGATCAATTTATTCACAAAGTAATTTCAAGCATTAGCTATTATGAGATATGCTTAAAAAAATGGAAGTAATCAAGTCAAGAGCTTGCTCTATTTAGTGCCTGTGTGAGCTTCAAATGTCACAAGTAAGATTTCGATGGTGTTAAGTGGGACGATAGTAATAAATGGTTCTTTGACATTTCACAGTCGCTCGCTTTCAATAAGATTTACGATTTATACGATCTTTAAGAGAACTAATATTCGAATGTTGTCAACTACTAAGCTAAACTAAATTCATTCGATACATTTGTAAGCCTTGTAATTGAGTTTCTCATGCATTAAAATGAGCCTGATGCATGTATAAGGTCAATATGTTTATTAGAGCAACCTCACAGTAAATTGGATACTGCCACTTTTTCTAGTATTATTTAAGCTGGAATTAATCGATTTTGATCGATAGTAAGGATGTACGATGATTTATCGGACAAAAAAACGATTGATACAAATTTTGTATGGTATATAGGAATAAACATATAAGTTTTTATTAGAGTATTTAGTATATTGATATATATATATATACTATATGTGGTAAGTTACACAAACTTTTACCTGTTAACTACAAAGTCATTATACGCCTAAATCGCCTTTCAAATAAAACATGACAGCCTCAAAGCATTGCACATAAATTAATTTATTCAGAAGGTAATTTTAATAAACACTTTATATATATTTAACCCAATTTCTATGGTTGCGAGACGTGCATTAAAAAAGATGAAAGAAATTAACCCAAGAACTTTTTTAAAATATTTCTTGATCGATTCAGGACCCATGTATATTTCTTCATATACTTATCTTCGCATTTATTCAAATCTTCAATACCAATTGTATCCAATAGGATTTCAGTTGTTCTAATGTGGATGATATTCATCATAAACTTATCGGCCCAGCTGCATTCTGATGGAACCCCACAATTTTTGATTAACTTTTTGCTTTCGGGTATTAGTTTCTTTTTTATTTTGTTTATAAACTCATCCAACTTCTCACTATTTCCTTTACACTTTTTAATGGACAAATCCAAGTTTTGTAACACTTCCTTATAAGTCTTAAAGAAATTCATTGTTAACTTGGTCATATTGGTAAGAGAAAAGTCTTCAGAGAATTCATTTAATGAATTTTGTGAAAGAACCTAAAAGTTTTTATTATATTTGTATATTCGAATTAAACTGATTTCAATATTTAATAACTTACGTTAAAGACACTGAGACAGAGAAAAGAAAGAACAAATAGCAAAAAATAGCCCTTTGACATTTTACAGTCGCTCGCTTTCAATACGCTTCACGATTTATACGATCTTCGAGAAAACTAATATTCGAATGATGTCAAGCACTAAGCTAAACTAAACGCATTCGATACATTTGTGAACCTTGTAATTGGATTTATCACACATAAAATGCACTTAACTTGCAAATGTTGATGTAAAAACTGTACATAAATATATCTGCGCAGTTAATTTGAAATCTATGTTTTTTTACCGTTCAACCTAAGTTTAAAAAACAATATGAAGACATCGATTAATCTTACTTATAAGTATATAAAGAAATAACATGTGTTATTGGTTATCATTAGTATTAGCTTGTATTGGGTATGATATACATATAAATATGGCATCTTTCGAATTACATTCATATTAACACATAGCTCATATCGTTAAACTGTTCAAGAATATATGTATGAATATACTTTATGGGATCTGACATGCTTCTGAATTCACAATTACAGTTTTCGGACAGATACTCTGATGCACAGACGGATTTGGCTATACCATGGTTTGGTGAGAAATGAAATTGTATAAATGCAGTGTATAATTCATTGTGTAACGAGTACATCAACATCATCAGCCATTATGATGTCCACTTTAAAAAGGCCTAATCTCACGGTAAGAAAGCTGAAAAGACATCATCCAGAAATCAAAAATTATATTGATGATTAACCCAATTAACTCTATAAATTTATTTATAGACAGCAAATTCAATATCGACCGATATCGGCATACTCGCTACGCCTTTATTGTCAGACAAAATACTTTACATACCATGCAAATAGAACCATTTCAATAGTGGTTAGTAAATATTTTATCCATGTCATGCTATCTCAATACTTTCTCGAACCATTTAAACTGCCGGGTATTGGCTAATTGTGAACACGAAGGGACAGAAGCTTTTGTTACCAAATTACTTAATCTGCATGCGAAGACAATTGTCAATCAACAAGATATTACACGTTAATCGCTTTAAACAATGCCCAGGCAAACAATTGTGGTAGTGGAATGTCGTGGCACGCAATTGGCATTTACTGTCTTAGGCAAGTTTTCGGCCCGGGGAAATTGTCATAGGCCCGACCAGCAGCATTTAATGAGCGGCCCCAAATCAAAGACAACAAACGATTTTTCGAAGAGGCAATCAGTCAACACTGCAGCTCGAGCAACTCGACGAGCTGTGTCACCCGCAGCTGCCCCATCCCCAGAACGTGTCCAATTTTACTAATTAGAGCAAATATTTGTCTACTTGATAAATTTGGTGGGTGGCAGTGGGTTGCCACCCACACAGCACCGCCCGGTCATTACCAGCACGCACAACGGAGCATTTTGGTCCCCTGCCTCCCAAAGCTTCTAAGCAAGCCCCGTCGCCTTGCCAAGAATTTAATTACGCGCCCATTCATGGGGACGAAAAATCAGTCAACCCCATACCAACCCCCTCATCCCCTTCAGCAAAGGTTATTCAAGCAACAGCTCCAGCTGTTTGTTAGCTAGAAATCACTTTTATGTGCCTGACAGGAATTTCCAGAACTCAGGAGTTTCGCTCCTATTCGGTCTGGTCCTTTTGCCATGGAATCAATTCTCTTTAAATAGTTTGCAAGTTCTGAGTTTTCGCAATAATACCAAAACACTCTTTAATACCCTTCAGCCAATCTCTACTATTCGGAAGTAATAATAACAAATCTGATATTCTTATGCATTATTTCTATACTCAATAAATAAAAGTGAGCATGGTTATTCCAGAGGACGATGAACAAGAAGAACTTTCACCATGTAGGAAAAAGTCAGAGTTGTTGTGTGATACAACTTCAACTCCATCTAATTTGATTTGCAGCATTTTATTGAACTCAAATAATATAATATAATAGATGTAGTGCTTCAAGTCATTATCTCTTATGTTCCGAGAACTTTTTAAAAACCAATCTGGCATCATTGTATGTCCTTCTCAACATGTGCAACACTTTCTCCATACATGGCTTAGGGTTTGAATAATCAAATGTGTCAAATACGCCATCGATAGTCAGCGCATTAATAGTTTCCATTATTGAATTTGCTTCGTCGCTACAGCCTAAGCTCCCCCACTTGCGACAGTCTGCTGCAACTTTTAAAGAACTTTGCATAATAACATCAAGTCTCGTTCTCACCGGCTTTATCTTTTCAACCGATTCAGCACATTCAGAAATAGCGCTCTTAATCTCTCGCAATTTATCCGAATAATCAGCAAAAAATGTTGGTGTTAATTTTACTACAAATGCCACAACATTTGGTCTATTGAATACATTGGCGTTTGTTGGATAGATCTAAAGGTGATGACTGTTCTTTATTTAAGATTTGAGCTGATTTATATATTTATAAACTTACGTTAAAAACACAGACACAGAAAAATAAAACTAATAAATGACCCATTGTGCAGAATCTCAATTTCAATATGATTTAAATATTATCTTTAAGAAAATTAAAATTCGAACTATTTTAAACATGAACTAAACGCTTTGGATACATTGGATAGCCTTGTAATCGGATTTTTCACACATTTCAAAAGAATGTGTAGTTAAAATTGATTACAGCGTGTATAATTCACCATATCTACAAAATATATTTTTAAGTAGCAAATAAAAATAAATACAATATTTCTGTCTATTGACTTATATAATATTATTGAATTGATTTTATTTGTAGAAAAAATTGACGTTGTCGAGCAAAATATCATTATTGGTATATTCTTTTGGTATAATTTACAATTCAGATGATGTCAATAGCAACTTTGGGAGTGAGTTTATTAAAATGTATGTACTTAATATTGCTAAGAATTATACCGGCTATATAAATATATTCAATCAGTTGTTAAATTCAAGATCTTATCTTTTCATAACTCAACGATTCCAAGTGAGCGAATTAAAAATGGGAAATCAGGGAATATTGGTATTGTGTAAATGTAGGGCAGTTATTCTCCAAAATATATAAGCGTTTTTTAGATGACCCATCCAATTTTATCGATAACAATCGATAATTGATTTCGTTTTTAATCCTAACTTTAATACGTTTGCTTCCAATTTGATATAACGTATTTCAAGTACTAGCAGCTTGTGCTTTGGCATAAACACACATAAATGAAGACTACCGACTACCGAAGACTACTTATTAAAGAATTCAGTCCCCATATTATAGTTCATATTGCCATGCAAGGAAAAGTTGAATTATTGGAATATCAGCTCTTTGCACGGTTCAGTGGATCTCATAGTCGAGCAGTCTCGCTTATAATTATAATTATCAAATTATAAAAAATTATAAAACACTATAAAGCTTTTGGCAAACTATGCCGACACATTCCAATACATACGTATACAAATATACACGTGCGCAGCCCACGTCTTAAATAGAATAGTAAACATCTATAAGGGATTAGTCAGAGCATTTACCGGTTCGCTGATTACTAAATAATTCAAAATGAAAAATAAATAAATAAATAGTAATAAAAATAGGCATAAAAAATGAAATAAAACGCACATAAATTTGTTTAAATATTTTTGGCAAATGAGAGAAGATGAATGATGTTCAGCATGTGATATGTATGTGATCCACGCTCCTTACATTAAGTTATGGCATGATTCCTCTTTAGCTGCTGTCAACTAAGCTACCCAATTAGTTCCGTATGCTTGAAGATGACGAAGATGTCTGCGATTCACTATATTATATGGCTGGTATTATGGACAGCGTTTGTTGATCGGTTCACGACTCGGAAAGCACTAGATTTTTTCACATGTTTAGCAATTTGTATAACTTATCGTTAGACTTGTGAGAGGTATTTAAATTTCAACAAAAAGACGCTTTAGTGTACTCAGAATTAGGACTAGGAGGTATTAAAACTATACAATGATATTCTTTTATAGGAATTAAAAAAAAGTCGTATTGATTCAAATCTTTTCATATACGTTATAATATTTGAAGAGCACTCTTAGTGGACGTCCAAAGGGAGTTCTTTAGAAATGTCGCCTTTGGCAATACAAACACAGCACACAATTGAAGTTGATTGCTCTTTGCTGAAATTGGGACACTTTCTAGATGAAAGGATTATTAAGAGATTTTCTAAGGGAATCAAAAGTTTTGCTATTTGCGACAGACTCAATAATTCTCGCATTTTATGGCCCAAGTTTTATTCGTATTGTTTTGTGTGCTTTGTCCTAAGCGTCTGTCTTTCTCTCTCTCTCTTTCTCTCTCGCATACTCTATCTCCGTGTAGTTTGTAAACTTTGCACTTCGTGCCATAAAATTATATAAAATATATCCTCTCGCAGCCGCTCTGTCGTTTGAGCTGCTGTCAATGTCGTTTGCTGCCAAAAAGTTGAAAGGATACAATTTGTGGTACCATCAAAACAATGCCTGAAGAGCCAAAAAAAAAAAAAAAAAAAGGAGTAAGATAAGATAAGAAACGACTTTTGTATGTAGAGAAGGGAGTTTAGATGTGTTTTTACTATTTTTCTCTCTTATTTACTATTTTGTTTATTTATGTCATACAATAGGAGTTTAATTTGGTGCGAGTAACGCCAGATATAAACTAGGCTAAGCATATAGGTGTATATATATGTATATATATACATACATGCGATACTCTGTTTATTTGATAACTGAAGCTCGATAATTCTTATTATGAAATTTATATTCGAATGCTTCAAGCCCAAAGTTTTTCCAATGAAAATAATTATACTTATAAAGCAAATGACAGACTATATGATTCAATATAATTTGGGCAATAATATTATTATTAATATTATATTATTTTTTTACTTTTACAAAACAATTTATGTATGCGAAATGGGTTTCATATTTAATGCATTTATATAGTTGAAAGATGTTACGTTCGTTACGTTCCAACATTTAAGGTTAAGCATACAAAATTTGAGTGAGCACAGAAGGTTTCCTAATTTTGAAAGCAGATGAGCTCTGCTCTGCTATAAGCATATCAATTATGCAGTTATATTGTTTCAGATTGTGGGCTACTACTTATAAAAAGTACAGACAAATTGTCCAAGACATCCGGCACAACGAAGCTAATGAGGGGCGAACGAAAACGTGGTCAAAATTGTTGCACTGATTGTAAATTAAATGCTGAGAAGCACCACCGACAAATTTAAAAAGCATTACAAGTAATGGGTGTGAAACATTTATAAATATCAATTCTCAGCTGGGGACAGTTGACAATAATTTGCGCAGATTGAAGAAATGAGACCTCTAACAGAGAGTTGTACATAGATATGTGCACGAAAATTAGAATATATATTAGATGTATATATTCCACTTACTAAATAATGCAAACATTTTAAGCTCATCCAATTTTTGCCTGTCACTGACGACAAATACGTAAATGACAAGCGAAAAGACATCTTAATGAGTACATATGTATATATGCATATACATATGATTTAGTTATATGCCGAACCGATATATTCCCACAGTCTGTCCACTGAAAATAATTTCTTACCTCATCGAGAACGTTGATCTCGCGTGCCAGAATCCGAGCCACGTACCACGTACCACACCACGGAGCACAACTTGTGCTCATAGTGGGTTTATTTAATTTTAAAAATGATCTATGTGCGATAAGCAATTTCGTTTTCTAGCGAACTACACCGAATAAGCTGCCATACAAGAGATACATATATACAAATATATGTCTATGCAAAAAGAAATGTTTAAATATATTTAAATTGAAAAATAAAACAAAGTAAAAGTAAAAAAGTTTCTTTAATTATTCAAATATTTGACTGTCAAGCTATTTACTTGGTATTCCCCAAAACTTTTAGCGTTCAACAATTGTGCAGATATGTAACTCTGTCAATAAAAGAATTAACAATGCTTAAGAAGTTCTAACTATTTTTAGCCAGAGAGTATACAAAAAATAAAGTTTTTAAATATTTATGAAAAGAAATAAAATAATAACAATAATATGTGTAGTAATAATTTTATATTATATTATTCATTTCCATTTTAAGCTTTAAAAATATTTTTAATAATTATGTATATCTGATTATTATTATTATTATTATTATTATTATTATTATTATTATTATTATTATTATTAATATATATTTTTTTTTTAATAAAATATAAAGTTTGTACAATATTATAAAAGACTATATATTTACACATGTATAATATAAAAAGCTTGTGACCAGATTATTAAGTTTTCTCTACTATTCGCCCTGGATGGATATCGTTTTGTAAATATGTATGTAGCTTGAACTCGCAACACTCTGCCTATAGAGAGTTTGTTGTAAATACTTTGTAAGTTTTCAAAGTTGAATATTTGTTTACAATACCAAAATGTTGTTGCTGACATGCTCACAACGCCAAATGGGCAAACATCACAATACCAAATTTCAATGTAAAAGTGCTTGAGTGCTTGTTACGACGAATATGCAATGTTCTTTCTAGCGCTCTCCAACTAATTGGTTAATATGTGAAATTCATTTCAACAATTGATCGACGGCTAAATTTACAATGAGCAACAATCAAGTTGGGAGTAAAAAAGAGGATTTACTTGAATCATGTAAGTGTATAGAACGTAAGCACTTATTTACAGTAGTCTTGCATGCGTACATACATATGTACATATATGTACTAGGCTATGTGCTTTGCAGTGTCACTTGGAACATGGCCTGCCTGTTTTCTGTTTCTATTTTCATTTATTTATTATTATTATTTTTGAAAGTTTTATTTCCTTTTTAGAAACTTTTCCATTCAAGCCGCAAAATGTCAAAAGAAACATCGAAATGCCTGCTGAAAATTTGTTTACAAATCAGAGCCCTTTACATGAAGCTGATTCCTCAATTTTAAAGTTTCAACAATTTATTTGACTATATATTTTTAAGTACCTAAATTACATTTTTGTTATCAAAAAAAAGTTGTTAAACAAATAATTCCGAAATTGTAAAATAAATATGAGTTCAATAAATATTTAAATTGTTTATTAAAATGTATAAGAATTTGTTATATTCATTTTTGTTTTTATTTTTTTTTAATCATTTTGAACTATATTCTATATTTCTCTTATTTATTTTAGATTTATATTTTATATTTATATTTATAATTATTAAATTTATTAGCTGTACGTGAATACCTAAGCAGATTATTTACTTCAATTCCTTGAATAATTTTCTTTGTGTGCTTTCAAGCTCGAATAAGAACCCAGACAAAGTTTGAATGGTCGAAATTTATTGTGCTGAAATCAAATTGAAGAAGAAGGCTTGTGCAACTGTATGTATGTATGTATGTACATATATGTATGTGTCTATTCGCTTTTACTAAGAAAAATGTGTTGAAGGTCAATTCGAATAACAGCTGAGCGAGCTTCACACACATACATACATATATTTATACTACATTAGCATATGCATATGTGTGCACATATGTATTGAGGCGAGAATGAATGCATATGCATGTACATATGTATGTATGTGTGTGTGTGTGTGTGTTTGTGACTCTTGTCATATGCTTTTCGTTTATTTGTTTGCTTGTTGAGGCTGCTGTTGATGTTGCCATTTCGCTTGTATTTTTTTGGCACAAAAGGCAACGTGCATTAAAATTGATAGCCTTTGACACGACGGCGGAGTGCGCGGGCAGCAGCAGACAGTCAAGCAAAAGACGAAATGGAATTGACAGTCACTGTGAGAGATGGCTTCAAAAGCTTTGCCTTTTATAATGTACGCATACATGCACACTTCTACGCCTGCCCGTACTTGCTTCTATATGAATGTATAAGTGAATGAGTGTATGAGAGTGTGAGAGTGTGAGTGTATGGTATGCTTTGCACTTTGCTTTTTGTCGTCGCCTTTGCTCTGGCAGCAGCTGCTGCTGTTGTTGTTGTTGTTGTTGTTCGCTGTTCGCTGTGGTGCCAATATGTCTGCCATAGCACACATCAAATTGGGTTCGTATACCTGTGTGTGTGTGCGTGTAGCTGTCTGCTTGCTGGCTGTATACTCAGATAACTGCCAAAACAACAACAGCAACAATTACCTCAGCGAAACAACAAACAAAAGCATTAAGATAACAAAACGACATGAAACTTCGTGTCAAGCATAATTTGCAAAAAGTAAAAAATAAATAAAGAGGCAAAAAAAAACTATGAAAACATGTTAAATAGAGCCAAAACAATTAAGTCACACAACCAAACGCATACAGGCACATGCATCATAAATATGTAGCATGAATTTGGAAAATAAGCTTCAGTGTTTAGCCAGTCGGGATTTTGAATGGAACAGTTGAAAATGATATAATATACTAAATATTAAGAAATTTGCTATTTCTCTCTCCTTTTCTCTTTTTCTTTCAATCACTCGCTCCCTTTCTCATTTTCATTCGATTTGTTCTTCTCTTTCCCTTTCTCCTTCTCTTCATCTCTTTAATTTATGTTCGCTTTTGCTTTATTTTAATCGTTCTTTTTCTGCTTATCTTTTTCCTTATCTTTCTCTTCTTCTCATTATCTTTCTCTTTCCCTTTCTCTCCGTATCATTCTATTTCTGCTTATCTTTTTCCATATCTTGCTCTTTTATGAATCTTTTAATGTCTCTTTATTTTCTTTCTCCATCAATTTATCACTCTATTTGCGGTATTATTTTCTGTATTGCTCTTTTCCGAGTTTCCCTATTTCGCCCTCTATCCTTCCTATACCACACGCTTCTTATTCTCTATCTCTTTCCCTCTTCCATTCATGTCAATATTTAGTTGTATCTGCCCCTGTTGTTTCTCTGAATGTTTACTTCATCTCTCACCCCCTTACTTTCATTCTCTCTAATTAGACTAACTACTTTATATTTAATCGAGTATACGAACATATATGATTTTTATATAGCATGGGACTCTAACTCTGATAGCTTTGATTAAGTTATTTTTGATGTTATAATGAGACTGCCAAAAGTAATTATTTGAAAATCATTATCAAAGAAATACTTAGGAATGTTTATATCAGTCAATGTTCAAAGTAGCATACGTAAATCGAAATAACTGAACTCCAATTAAGTTCAATCTAATCGTTAGAGATTAGATTTCTTATCAATGTCAACAGAATCGAAGTTATCGTCGTCGTGTAGCTGAATTTAGTTCATTTTCTAACATCAAACATTAAACTTGAACTACAAATGACGCCACAAATACGCCCCCTATCGGCCAATTTGCAACGCATTGCCATTGAGGAGCTAAATGAAGTGCCCGAACGTCTAGATGCGGATATTGAAACATTACGCACCTGGCTCAAACAGCAACCACATCTACGCGCACGCATCGACGATCAGTTCCTTGTGGCCTTTCTGCGCGGCTGCAAGTTTAGCCTGGAGAAGGCCAAGTCTAAGCTGGATAAATTTTATACGCTGCGCACTCGCTATCCGGACTTTTATACGATACGTGATGTGGACAGCCAGCGCCTACACGAACTACTGCGCCTTGGGTGAGTGGCTGTTCCAGATGGAAGCGAATACTGTGAGCCGGATCTACATATCTTAACCCTTCCTCAGCGTCGGCTTGCGTTTGCCACGTCCGCTGCACGATGACGGACCACGGATCATTTATGTGCGACCCGGCTCCTATGCAGCGGACAAGTATACTTTTGAGGAGATAATGGGCGTGTCGCACGCCCTGAGCGCGTTGAGTCTACAGCATGATGACTACGCCGTCATCTATGGCTGTCTGCTGATCCTCGACTTTAGCGGCTATACGGCGGCCCATCTGTTACAGTTTACGCCGAGCATTGTAAAGAAGATGTCCGTCTTTGCTGAGGAAGCCATGCCCATTCGGGACAAGGGCAGGCACATGATCAACACGAATGCCGTCTTCGAAAGGGGCTTTAATCTGATGCACTCACTACTGCCTGCCAAGGAGCAGAGTCGGGTATATATATAGATACATGCATACATAATATATCTGTCTCTCCCTCTGACAGCAGCTTCTGGTTCTGCTTTAAACAGATATCAGTGCACGGCAGCAATTTGGAATCACTTTACAAACACATACCGCAAAAGTATTTACCCACACACCTGGGCGGGGAGCAGGGCACGATTGAGGAGCTCAAGCAGCAGACGTGGGATATCTTTACGGAGCAACGGGAGTACCTCAGGGCGGAGGCTAACTATGGAGTGGACGAAACGCTGAGGCCTGCCGGACAGAGCTGCGATTATGAAAGCATCTTTGGTGTTGATGGATCATTTCGCAAATTAGACTTTGATTAAATCAAAGGTCAATGCACAGAAAGAAGACTTTTTCCTTTGTCTCACCTAACTATTTTTTGAGACCTCCTTGAATCTATTTTTCAATTTTAATAAAAATTTCTTCTAAAGGCGATGGATATCAATACACATTTTTTATTATTGTATGCATTTCAATTCGGATTCGGAATGAGTGGATATACGGCGCCCACGCAAAGAATTCAGCTCATGTTTATGGGAATTGCATGTTTCTATTTGCTTTCTGCTCAGATGAGTATATACTTAATGGTCCGATTTATGGCCAAAGTCTTCAATGAAATCGTAAGAATTCGGCCATTCACCTGGCATAACGCCCACATCGGGGCGCCACCTGCTGTTGGCATATGTGAATCGAATTCATATTCGATAACTGTATCGATATACTTCCATGTAGAGCTTTAGAACTAACCATATACATCAAAGCAGAACCGAAATCCAATTGAAAACTTTCTTTTTCCGTTTTCAAAGTGAAAGATTTATATTATATGAACATAAAAGTTCAGTGTGAGAATGTTATTAGGGATTTATTAATTTGTACAGCTTTTGTTTTCCCAATTTTGTTTTTCTATGTCTGCAACGAATCTACTTTGTTCTTTATCAATAAACAAATTTTTGCTCAGTTGTTTTTTTTTTTTTTTTTTTTTCTATTTCCATTTCACAGACAGCAAATTATTTGTGCGTATAGATTTTCACACTCGAAAATCGCAACAGCATTTCGTGCATATAGAATTGGATCAATCCGATCCGATTAATATTTATGTCTAATAATTTATACTGAAGAGCCGTGGCGCAAGAGACATGAACAAATTGGCTTCGTTTCTTCTCACTAGCTGAAAATCGAGGCCTTGCCTAACGAGGCCCAGTTAACATCAATAAACTGTAATATAAATGTGTAGTTCCAATTGATAAATCTAAAGCTGAACAACCCATCGATCGTGTCAATTTGCATACCGAATTCAGACTGTCGTAAATTTATTGTTTCACGACTGATTCCGGTCGATGGCGAGTGCTATAAATCGAATGTGAAAGGTTTTGTTTTTTTGAAGATTTACGACTCATTGATTGATTTTGATATTTGGAATGAGATTAGCGCTCGGGATAAATGGAGATGTGTCGGCATACCCATACTGTCTTTCGAAAGTGTTGTAAAATTATCTTGAAGGTTGTTAATCAAACACCCAGTCTATAATATTTCAATACAATGATTTAAACTAATTAAATTTGTTTCATTTCACCTTCATGGTGAGTTATGTATGTCAACGTTTATAATGTAATAAACAGAGCGTTTCAAGTTTTTACACAAACCTATTATCCATTGAATTGTCAAGTATATTTGTCGTAGCGTAAGTGGCTCTATAAGTAGAAACTGATTCGCCTCATTTGGATTTAAATCGTAAATTAAGACTTCATAATGACGTTAAAAGCTGCTGTAGGGTTGACGGTGCTCTTCGTGGCACTGTTTGGTGTCAATGCGCTCAACGACTGTGAGGAGCATCCGAATTTATTTTGCATCCTCCAGGCAATGTTCAATCCACTTAAGTCCTTTATGTGTCTGCAGGCTGCAGCTGAAACTTTTGAAGTGACTACCAACAGGTATTATTTTTCTATTCTCCAATGCAACAAGGAAATAGCACCCAATCTGGCCATTGACGTCTTTGAAAATATCATGAGAGACATCCTGACAGCTAGCACCAAAATCAAATATGCTTGCAACTTAAATACATTGGACATAATCAAAGAAAGTTTTTGGTGTTCCTCGAAAATTGTCTATGAATACATCCGGCTGCGATTTTTGCTTGGCTCGGCGGAATCTACTGGGAGCAGAAGTGAACAGTTCAATAATTGTGTAGCACCTCATATCAAAGAGTATATTGAAAGATTTCCAGCTACTTACTCACAGTTGAATGCCTGTATTTTCAAAGAAAAATAAAACTGCTAAATGAGAAAAATTCTCAAATATTATAATTAATGTACACATACATATGTACGTAATCTGATCATTTCTTATTTCTTTGGGGTATTGTGTTCTAAAAAGCTGGAATTGAATGAGGATAATGGCTCTTATCTGATTTATTGGCTTCTTGAACTAGAGAAGAAGTAAATACGGAGTATCGTGTAATCAATCGTGTCTTACGAATCGCTTTCACACGTCGCACTAAAAAAATCTGAGAATCACATAGAAAAGCAGAAGTTTAAGAAATAACAGTTGCTTATCAAATTTAATTATTTAAACTACAAGCGCCTCAAAATGACAATAATAAATAAAGTCACTCACAGAATATACGACAAATTGAATTTACTGCCCGACTATGCAAATTCGCAGAATCTATAAACAAACTCATATTAGAATACTATAAAACTAAATAGTGTGACAAAGGGAATATAGAATGGAATGGAACATATTTGGTATTGAAAATTGAAATGGAAATGGAAATGAATATAGTGGAATAAAATATAATAGAATTTACATTTGGGTGTTGGTTAGATTCGTTTTGTGAGCCGCAGCTGTTCAGTTTTGATTTATGGTCACAAATATTTACTTGTCGTATTTAAATATGCGAAGAAGCTTTTTCATTAAAATCATAGAAATAGAAACTAAATAAATATTGTTTGTGACAACAAGGCAATGTGGCTCGCTCTCGCACTTTGTTTACTTGTTGGCCAAGGTTATAAATCAAATTGTCAAAATAATGCCAAGAACAACAGGTGAAACCAGTTAGGCGGCTCCTAAATACCCTTTGCAAACCTTCCGCTTCAAAAATCAGCTGAATAGCTTTCATCTACCATATCAATTTTATTATTGTTATTTTTATTATTTATTTAAACATAATATTTAAGCATAATATTAAAGTATTTTAATACAATTGTTAAGATTATGATAAGGCTCTTTTATTTTAAATGCAAATTTAATTATCTAATTTTTTAATGTATTCATATTTATGTTGATTATTCTAAAATCTTTTATTTCTATAATAAATTTGATTTATTTATTTTATTTTTTGTTATTTTTTATAAATATAAATATACATTTTTACAAAATTATTATTATTCTTTTTCTTTGCTTTTCTTTTATATTTTCTCGTTGAAGAAAAAGAAAGACAAGAAAAGAAAATAATATTGGCTTTTATCACTATATTAAAATTTACAGATTGATTGAGTTTATAAAACCAATAGCGTATGTGTTAGCAAAATAAATATGACCCATCAGAATTATAGAGCATAGCGAGTATATATAGAATTTATTGATGATTTACGCTTATCGCACATCGCGAATCCGCGATTCGCGTTAAGTTCTTAAACAAATATTGAACGGTGGCAAACAGTGTGGGGAATTGGTTCCGCTGGTTCCATTGGTTCCATTTGGGTCCAATTGGTTCCAATCGGCTCCGCTGGCTATTCCCCACTAACGGCTTATGCGGCGCCCTGCAACGACAAACTTTTAGACAAATTGATTTTCGGCTACCCTGTTTATTTATTTAAAATTCTTATTTATTATTATTGTGTTCTCTAGCATTTTTGTTGTTCTTCGTTTCTTTCTCCTCTTATATTTTTCGATTGTTTTTGGTTCTTGTTGCTTGACTCGTGCTGACGTCAACGGACGTGAGCCTCAGCACACGGACAGGGGCGCGTGCCAATGGGGCAGCCAGAGGTACATACATACTTATATATATATGTACATATTAGTATGTATAATCGCCAAAATGCTAAAGAAAACATCATCCGTCGCATTGGCGATTTGTCTGTCAGTTGTGCTGGGCTTGTTTCGGCATTGACCTTGAGGCAAATCGAAAACTGAAAATCGAAAATCGTTGAAAATTTCATTTTGACTTTTGGCATAAATAACAACTTTTACAAAAGCCAACAAATCAGCTGTGCCAAAAATAATCAGCTCAAACGAATACTTGAACACATCGAGAATATGTACATACATACATATGTACAAGTACAGTACCCGGCAAATAGAGACAACTGCGGCCAAAATTAATCAACTTTAGTTCACTTGTACTAACGAAGGAATTGTAAAATCAATTTGTCGATAAGTAATTAACCATGCAGTAGCTAAAATCGTATAAAGTATTGAATGCTGACCCTTTATGTAGAAATGAAATAGATATAACATTTAATTTTATATGCACTTAAAACTTTAAAGTAATTTGGAGACTATATTGAATCACGTGACGTTTTAACATCGCTTTTAAGTACCTCAAAAAATAAGCAGGTTATGCGTGATACTCGGACAGCTGAAAACGAGAACTGGAAGAATGTTTGACTCATGTACGCCCTCCTCTGTGATGAGCAACAACTGTTAAGAAGTTAAAAATAATGGTAATCGCTTTAGTTTAAGCATCTCTCAAGCATTATCTATCAACACTCCCATCTGTTCTACATAAACTTGTATTTCTAAAGTTGTCAATTAATACGCAAATTAGAATTGCATTGCTGTATCAAATTTATTTTGAATGCATATAATTTAAGAATTAAAACTCTAATATTAAAAAATATTATCTATTATCTAGTAGAGACTATTTGGCTATGAAATCTCTATCGACTCAGTTCGTTGCCTTAAAGAACACCATATATGTATATACTGTATTGAGTCTGCCCGCCTCCTTCTGCCTGTTGCATACATTTTAACATAAGCATTTTACCCCGATTGCCCATTTTCAATCGATTCACGTCATGAAAATATTTGGGCTCCATTGGCAAATACCTAAGACGAATTTGCCTTGAATGTGCCTAAGAGTTTTCAGCAAATTGGATAACTTTTCATACTTCAGATCTGATCTCTAATTAAATCGCATTTAAAATTATGCATTTAGTTATCAATTGGGAGTTTCAAATAAAGTCACTTATAGAGTTTAGATATCAATCTCAAATTCTGTAAAACCTTTAAAGCATGTTTCTTTTAGATACTCATATATCCAGATTATTATTTCAGTTTGCAGCTCATCTCACTATGAGCATATCGAGTGCAACTGACGTGCAATGGATCGACTGAATGCAAACAATAAATTGTAGCCCACAGATACACAAAACCAAAATTTCCAATAACATATATGTATATAGATAGATACAATGCGCAAATTTTGTTTGGACTACCCGCTAGCAAAAGGGGAAATTCGTTGAGCACCGCGTGGGGTCAGCCACCTAGCTTTTCTCATACATTTCCCAATATACATTTCCAAATATACATTTCCTTAAATTTTCTTTCAAAATCGTGGTAAAATGTTCTTAAGGGCTGTTTATTTCAATAACCTTCATGGTGTCTTATGTGTTACCGTTCATAATTTAATCAGTTGAGCTTTTTAAGTTATTAGACAAACTTATTATCCATGGAATTGACAATTATTTCTCGTTGCGTAATTCGCTATATAAGTAGAAGCCGATTTGCACCTTTTCATTTAGTTGATTTAAAGGCCGCATAATGATGTCCAAAAATCCTCTGGTGTTGTCCGTGGTTGTCGTGGCACTGTTTGGTGTCAGTGTGTTCTGCAAGTGTCAAGATGACCCGACTGGATTTTGTGTCGCCCAAGCACTGCTCCACCCGATTAAGTCCGTGCGGTGTTTTGTGAACGCAAGCACACCGTTTCTAAATGTTACAAACTCGCATTTTAATGAACTTAGCAAGTGCAGCAAGGAACTTGCACCTAATCCGGCCACTAGGGATTTTATAGGTCTCGTTGAAAACATCCTAAGTGTTTTGAATAATATTATTAATTCTTGCGGCAAAAAACCAAATGGCGAACTTGCAGCTGGTTTCTGGTGTGGCACGAGGTCTGTGTATAAATACATCAAGTTGCGAAAGTTGCTTAAGAAGGCGGAAAAAGCTGCCGCAAGTATTGAACAATTCAATAGTTGCGTTTCAAAACATATTTCAAGCTATGTACAAGAGTTTCCCAAATTTCGACTTGCCGTAAATTATTGTATTTTCCATAAAGCACAAAAAGAGTAATTAAGAAATTTGCTCGAATATAATAAAAATGTATACCATACATATGAATACTACCTGCTCATTTATTATTTCGCATATGATCGACTCAATGTGTACAACGAATTGTATCCCAAAGATACACAAACGCCTATTTCTCAATTGCACATATATGATATATATATTAACTAATTTCGATTGGGACTGGCCGCAAGCAAAAGTGGGCAGCCACATAGCTTTTCTCATACATTTACTAATATACATATCCACAAACATTTTTACAAAATTGTTGTAAACTGTTTTTATTAAGGGTTGTTTATTTCAATATAATAAATTTATATTAATTTAGTTTCATTTCACCTTCATGGTGACTTATGTGTTACCGTTCATAATTTTATCAGTTGAGCTTTTTAACTTTGTCTAATACAAACTTATTATCCATGGAATAAGTTGGCTCTATGAGTAGAAGCCGATTGCCACCTATCGATAAAGGCTGATTTTTGTTATCAAAAAATCCTCTAGTGTTGTCCATGTGTGTGCCAGCAGCTGTGAAGAGAGCCCGACTGTATATTGAATCATCAAAGTAATGTTCTACCCGCATCTGCACGGAGAGCTGTAACGTTTGAAAAATTTACCGACGCAATTTTTTTTTACTTAGCCAGTGCAGCAGGGAATTTCCACCCAATCCGACCGCTAAAGATTTTATAGGTCTCCTAAGAGCTAAGAGCGAAAAGGCTGTGTATAGCTGTGTATGTCAAGCCGCGAAAGTTGCTTAAGAAGGTGGAAGAAGCTGCCATAAAGTTTGAACATTTCAATAGTTGCATAGCAAGTAATGTTACAAGCTATGTACGGCACTTTCCACAATTTCAACGTGACTTGAATTATTGTATTTTTCATAAATCATAAAAAGAGTAATTGAGAAATTTAGTAGAATATATTAAAAATCTATACCATACATATGAATACTACCTGCTCATTTATTATTTCGCATATGATCGACTCAATGTGTACAACGAATTGTAGCCCAAAGATACACATAAGCCCATTTCCCAATTGAACATATATGATTGTATATATTAACAAATTTCGATTGGGACTGGCCGCTATCAAAAGTGGATATTTGATGAACACCGCGTGGGGTCAGCCAACTAGCATTTCTCGTAGACTCATTTCCAGATGTTCCGACCGCTGACAGGCCCCACGGTGCGCAATGTCAGGTAATTATATTTTTGGCAAGGGCCCAGATACATTTGTACTTTTTATTTTTTTTTTTTTTTTTTTTTTTTAATTTTTATTTTATTGTCTATGTGTGTGTGTGTATGAGTGTGTGCCCCAAGTGTCCCGCTGTTGCTTGGCAATCGCGCGCGTCTCTAGAGGCAAATGATTTAGTGCCTTGTAAAATAGATTTTTTTTGCTGCTGTAGAATATTCTCAAAATACAAACAATCAATAAATAAAAGTTTAAAATAAAAACTAATTTCGACTTAAATCACTAATTTATAAAGTCAATTATTTTAAATATATTTTAATATATATTTTATCATTTATTCTTCCTTCGTGAACTGAAGTCAGTCAGTACTTACAGCGCAAATTTTGTTTTTCTGCTTTCGAATATCAGTTTGGCCCACTGTATTTACACATATGTGCATATGTGTGTGCGTGTGTTTGCCATTTGGCAACGTCGACCCACTTAATTGCCAATCGGTTGTCAGTGGACGTGCGGTACGCTGTGATCGCTTTGCCCATTAGATCATTATTTTTTATTTATTCGAATTTTTATTTTGATTTTATTTTGATTTTTTTTTTATTCAATAACAGATTTCCGTCAAAACAAACAGAAGGTAAAAATGTGTTAAGATGGGCGAAATTCAGAGGAAAACAAGAAAAGTGCGTCAGCATGCAAATTGTGTTTTTCGGTTTGTATGCCCTGCATATATTTAAAAAGTCTCGAATGGGATATGATATATTTTGACACGGATTGTGATCTGATCGTGATCTATTGTAGATCTTACAGTTTGATTTTAACGAACTATTAATAGCTTGAGTTCGAGATCTTGAATTTGCTTTATTGTTTGCAATGAACAATAAAACGAGGCATATGAAAGATGAATAAGAATTCTTCATAAAATTTTAATATTTATTTATCTAGCCATATTTATTTATATGTATGTACATATATTTTCTACAGAAGAATCTAGGTAGACGTTTTGATTCATATATTTTATGTTCTATTTAAGCTCGCGTACTTCTTTTAGCAAATTTCATATCCCTTTCATTAAAATACTATTATTATACATTTTTGTTCGTTCATATTCACATATTACAATGGCTAGGTATTCTGTAGTCGAGCACAGCCGCCTAGAATACTTTTCTTAGTTGAAAATCTTTTCTGTTGCCGTTCGTCACTTTTCAGCTGTGTGCTTTATATTCTATTCTTCAATTTTGTTGAGTTGTTTTTCCCCATTTTATGCGTCTGTTTATTTGTCTAGCGACTGCAGAGGATTTTAACCTCAGCGTCTTTAAGGCACATGCAACAGTTGTTATGATCAGCTATGATTATCTAAATCTACATGTATCATTATCATTATCTATATCTACCTGTATCTGTATCTGTATCTGTATCTGTATCTGTATTTGTATCTGTATCTGTATCTGTATCTGTATCTGTATCTGTATCTGTATCTGTATCTGTATCTGTATCTGTATCTGTATCTGTATCTGTATCTGTATCTGTATCTGTATCTGTATCTGTATTTGTATCTGTATCTGTATCTGTATCTGTATCTGTATCTGTATCTGTATCTGTATCTGTATCTGTATCTGTATCTGTATCTGTATCTGTATCTGTATCTGTATCTGTATCTGTATCTGTATCTGTATCTGTATCTGTATCTGTATCTGTATCTGTATCTGTATCTGTATCTGTATCTGTATCTGTATCTGTATCTGTATCTGTATCTGTATCTGTATCTGTATCTGTATCTGTATCTGTATCTGTATCTGTATCTGTATCTGTATCTGTATCTGTATCTGTATCTGTATCTGTATCTGTATCTGTATCTGTATCTGTATCTGTATCTGTATCTGTATCTGTATCTGTATCTGTATCTGTATCTGTATCTGTATCTGTATCTGTATCTGTATCTGTATCTGTACCTGTATCTGTATCTGTATCTGCTTATGTTCATATATTTCAAAGCTTATTCGTATCTACTATATCTGTATTCTATATACTTCAGCTTCTGCTGTTGGCTCTTCTATTGGCTATACTCTGCTAATCGTGGTCGTGTTTATTTGATTTGTCTGTATCTCTGTCTAGTCATCTACCGATTAGTTGCTTTCGGTGCTTAGTAGCTTGGACTTGGGTGACTCATAGCTCTGCCTGGGGTTAAACTAAATTCATTGCGACTGTCACGTAGCCCCCATGAGGCGAATGACTATGGCTATACCGAGTGCGATTAGCGAAGAACTTTGGAACGAATCAGCTACGATTAGGCAGATAATGATAAATATTTATTTGTATTTCTTTGTTTCTGTTTTCCTTTTCTTTATTTCATTTTTATTTTGAATGATTGATTGATTGTTGCTCGCTAGACCCAAAAGTTTCCACAGGTCACAATATACAGTTAGTAAAAAATCAAATTAGGTTCTCGATAAAAATACAAAACGCTAAATTGAGTTCATTTGGTAGTCACTTTTTTAATTGTAAAACAATTGCAACTAATTATTTTGCCAACTGAGAAAGGAAAATTCAATTATTTATAACAATTTGACGAGCTTTTTTGTTGTATTTTTCATTTCGATTCCCGCTAAATAATTAACAATGCCGGCTTTTACCTAGCTGCCCATACCGCGCACTCCCTCACTCACTCTCGCTGTCTTTTTTCTATAACTCTCTATCTATCTCTCTCGGTCTTTCTCTCTATCGGCGCATAGCAACAGTCGGGCATTGAATAAGTTTACCTCACCTTGCTCGCTCATGCTGTGCTCGCTCTCAGTTTGCTGACGTATTGAGGTAATTTTATGATTTGCTCAAGCGTTGCGTTTTATTATTGCGAAAGAGTTTCACTCCACTAATACCCTGTGTATTACTTATGTGTCTGTGATCGCATCATCCTTGGTCTTTATACCAGGAGCCTTTGCTAATTGCAAAATTTTTGCAAACAATGCCATTAAAGGGGTTCGCAGTTTCAAAAGATGGCGACTGGAATGGCGTCGAGTGAAAAACTAACTGTAACGGCAACATTACAAGCAACGGTTAAGGGAATGGCGGCGGCGAAATGTTGATCACCGTTTAATTTAGCTGTTGGCGCAGTCACCGTTGCTACTGCTGCTGCTAGCGCTGCCCCTGGCTCTGCTACCGCTTAGCAACAGCAACAGCAAGAGCAGCGAGCAAACTTCATCAGTTCGCAGTGCTCGCGATTCGCCTTTGTCTTATGCTTTGACTCTGTGACGTCGGCTGACGCCAAGGAGGAAATGAATGTCAATTACTCACGTACAAATACATATGTAGATATGCGCATGCATATGTAAATGCATATGAGCATGTGTGTGTGTGTGTCGCTGCCGGCCCCTGACGACAGCCAACGGCGGCGTCTGTCGGTCGCTCTGTCCGTCTGTCGCTCGATTGCAGCAATCGCACGTTTTTGGCTTTTGATTTTGTTTCTTTACTTTTCTGTTCATTTTTTTTTTTTTTTTTTTTTTTTTTTTGTCTTTTCTGCTGCCTTGGTTTATCAGACGCAGCGAAATGAAAGTAGCAGCCGCAACATTTGCATAGGCGCCACAAAGAGACGTTAACCTTTCGCGTTTGTCGCCAGTTGGCCCCCGATACAGCTGCAGAGATACTGAGATACACAGAGAGATACAGAAAGAGCGAGAGAGATAGAGAGATAGCTACAGATATTCATTTTCGCTGGCTTTGATTGATTGTTACCTTCATTGATCGTATGCTAATTAATTTCAACATTTGTTTTCTTTTCCTTTTGATTGTTTTTTTCTTTTCCAGTTTGTTAATATTGAGTTTGGCTCGGCCATATCATTGAACTCTGCTAAATTTATGCAGTGCATAACCCAAAACTGGGCCATAAAACACATGCAAAACACACTGCGGGATAAGTGCTAGTGGATACTCTGTAAATGAGTTTACGTAAAAAAAAATAATAAAAAATTGGCATGAGATCTAAAAAGATCTGAGCAATTAGTAGAGTACCTGTTATACGAAATTGTAACTCTTTATATTTATATTAATATTTAACGAAAGTACTTTCTTGAGACAATGCGAAAGTCGGATTATCAAAGGAATAAAGATCTAGATCTTGAGTATCTCAAAAATTTGTAAGACGATCTTCAATCATTTATGAAGTACGTTTTATATAAATATATTTGATTATTTATACAGATTCTATATAAAGTATGTTTAAAATATATATAAATTATCACTCAATTATAGTATCTTGTAACATAAGAAAATATACACATTAGGATAATTCTCTAAAAATATTTGCTCTTAGACTTATTGATTACATTTTACAGTTATGTTTGTCGATCAGTATTGTTTTAATAATATATGTTTTGAAGCTTAATAATTACAGGGTATAGTCTGAAATCTGTACGTCCAGCTGATTTAACGGTATTCCAGACCTTTCCAACAATTTGGCAGTGTGCAGCTGTTCGCTGTTCAATTGTTACATCAGTGCAAACTCAAATCGATATTTACATACGTAATCCAAATAAATAAACAAACAACAATTTAGTGAACAATACTACTTATATGCAAATAATGAGCATTTTTTTTTTTTTTTTTTTTTTTTTTACTTACAGCCAAAATGCTGACGCAAAAGGCGACGCTTCGCAGATTTTGATGCGCTGCAAAGACGAAAAACAAGAAAACAAATTCTACGTATGCATATACATATATATATATATATATATGTATATATACATATACATACAAATATATATTTC